TGTTCTTATTTCAATACATTGAACGCGAGTTAGATTCTTGCGAACTTTGGTTTCTGAAGCAGATATTTCGAGAGACATGGTTTGCTAGGTTAGAGGATGAATTGATAGTGGTGCTAGGTTTCAAGGGCTGTTTTTGTTTTATTTATTTACGTGCAAGGTAAAGTGACTACCTTTGCACTCCTACTGGAGCATAAGCACGAGTGGGGCCGGGCTGGATTAGTTTAACTACCGTGGTGTACAGATAAACCTCGTCCCACCTGGATGACCGGACCACCTCAGACTTCACCCATGTGTTGAATCATGTCAAGCCCAGCCGTCCAGAAAACCCTGTTTTGACGCGCCGAAGCGCAAATTCCTCCTCAGCCTCGGCCACCACGCGCCCGAGCCCTTGACACCTTCGCCATCTATAACTTTTTCTTTCCATTCAATCCCAGCTTTGGCTCCTCTCATCCTAGGGTCGTTTTCTTCATTGAAGGCCTCATCTAGTCGCCCACCAAGGCCTCCTCAGTTTATATTCCCTTTTGGTTCCTTCATGTAGCATCCCTCTGTCCATCAGCCGATCTCATCATCCCAGAAACTTTGTAGGATGTCCATCTCTCCGGCCTTGCCCTGTCGCTGCCATATCCTTAACTATGGAGGTCGAAAACCCAACTGAGAGCTCAAGACCGAGGCACCGGTGCCTCATCCTTTGTCGATCGCTCTAGATGGTGTGCCGGCGTAATGCCGTAAGTATTTTATCGGCGGCAATTGGTCACAGGTTGAGTTGTGGGTGCCCTTGGCCGAGGTACAGACGCATTTAATGCCGATATTTCGACTGTATCATCATTGCGACTGGCAGTTGCGGAGGATCGGACATCTTCTTGCTTCTTTGTTGGCAATTTGAATTTTAGAAGTATGGGATTGCTTCGGTAGGTGATGAGTTTAGCTGGGAATGACTTTCAAAAGAAAAAAAAAGATCTTGAAGGTATCGGTTATTGTAATATGAACATCAGACTGGTTTTAGCCTTTCTTCTGTTCATTTATGGGGTGTATATGGTTGTTTTCATTGAGTTACGCAGTCGTACAATCTCTGCAAGTCGGATTTTCGACCAAAAATGAGCCTACACCGCTCCTCCCGATCGCCAATTCGATGAAAACTCTCAAATTCACCCTTTGTCGTGACTGAATCTCGGCTTAGGGAGAATATTTCACTTCCAGGTTCGTAGAGGACACCGCTGACAGGTGTTTAGCCTTCGTCCTCCGTTTCAAGGGCTTCGTTGGTTAGGTGGTCAAAAGTGTCGTTGGAAATGTGTATCTCTTAGCGACTGTTTGAATAGGACGATTGGACCGTACTTCAAGACGAGCGGGGTAATGAGGAGAGACAGACTAACCTATTACGAGCTAGCCCAATTAAACTTACAGGGCTAATCCCTTAAAATATCCTAGTTTCAAGCCAATTGTTTCTGATCCAAAAGGCACTATAACCATAGTAATCTTTTAACCCCCCCATTCACCGAGACAAGCGGGGGAGGTCATTTAAACTTCCTTTTTTTTTGCATCAGATTTTAATTGCGTATGCAGCTATCTAGCTATGACACAATATCAACTAAAAGTACAGAAAAGATGACTCAATTAACAAGAGGAGCACTCATGCCTCAGATTTCATTTGCAAGTACCACTGCGAAGTTATGGCGGCTTTTTCTTCACCCCAAGTCAACCCTCATCCGTGAATACCCACTCAGGGGAACATCTCAAAAACCCTGAGTTATCCAGACATGCCTCCGTCATCTATCAACTTTTCTCCGCGTGAAATGTAATCTGAGATGTCTCCATCCCAAGTGGAGTAGGTGCCCAGGTTACTCAAACCATACCAGAGAACACCACCAGGAGGCGGACCACAACTCCTTTCATCGTCTGCTTATTTTTACAGTGTCAGTTGGAGGGCAAGACTGAACACCTGTACGCGGTGTCCTATACGAACCTGGGAGCGAAATATTCTCCCAGAGCCAAGTTCAGTCAAACTTCTCACTACCGAACAAGTTGGCCCACGAGGCAATGATTCAAATTACTCCACCATATCAATCTTTCACTCCCAACGAAATCGATTCCTATCCAAGCCTCATCAAGTTTACAAGTACGACCTAGTACATCCTTATTCCAATGACCACACCTCTTGTCGACTTTCTCTGGCCTTAGCTGGTCGCCAGATACACGCCCACGCCGATATTTACACCTGATGGAGGAAGCAAAGCGTGGCGCATAAATCTGGAAGACAATTCCTTGGGATGGATGTGAGAGGGATCAGGACAAGTTAATAAGATGATGCAGAGGATTGGATACAGTCTCGACGGGCGTGGAATTTTGAATTTTGGAAAGGAGTTTTTACAAATTGAGCTTTGTGCGTGCCAAGTTTTCGGCTGCGGGAGTGCAGCTGACACTATAAACACAAGCAAACGATGGAAGGTGTTGTGGTCCGCCTCCTGGTGGTGTTCTCTGGTATGGTTTGAGTAACCTGGGCACCTACTCCACTTGGGATGGAGACGCCTTAGATCATATTTCGCGCGGAGAAAAGTTGATAGATGACGGAGGCATGTCTGGATAACTCAGGGTTTTTGAGATGTTCCCCTGAGTGGGTATTCACGGATGAGGGTTGACTTGGGGTGAAGAAAAAGCCGCCATAACTTCGCAGTGGTACTTGCAAATGAAATCTGAGGCATGAGTGCTCCTCTTGTTAATTGAGTCATCTTTTCTGTACTTTTAGTTGATATTGTGTCATAGCTAGATAGCTGAATACACATTAACTGATTTAAAAAAAAAAAAAAAAAAAAAAAAAAAAGCGAAGTCTTGGCGCGAACAAAGCTCAATTCGTAAAACTTTTTCCAAAATTCGAAATTTAACGCTCATCGAAAACGTACCCCTCTTCTGCATCATCTTGTATACTTGTCCCGATCCCTCTCACGTCCGTCCCAAAGAGCCATCTCTCAGATTTGTGCTCCACGCTTTGCTTCCTCCGTCGGGTGTAAATATCGGCGTGGGCGTGTATTTGGTGACCAGCTAAGACCAGAGAAAGTCGACAAGAGGTGTGGTCATTGGAATAAGGATGTACTAGGTCGTACTTGTAAACTTGATGAGGCTTGGATAGGAATCGATTTCGTTGGGAGTGAAAGATTGATATGGTGGAGTAATTTGAATTATTGCCTCGTGGGCCAACTTGTTCGGTAGTGAGAAGTTTGACTGAACTTGGCTCTGGGAGAATATTTCACTCCCAGGTTCGTATAGGAGACCGCGTACAGGTGTTCAGTCTTGCCCTCCGCTCCTTGCCTCTTTTGTTACTTGTAAGATCATTGATTTATTCACCTTGATAAATAGCCATTCAGCTCAGTTTTACTCGTGCAATTCGGCCACCTTTTCTACGGAACCTTCTACCCAAAAAAAATAAAGATGATAGCAATAGAAACTGCGTGCGCGGGAAAAAGTCTCAAAAAACCTGCAGCTCCAGCCAGGCGAGGCCTAGACACCGAGACCACATGAGGTGCGCAGATTCATCTTTATCTCTCTTCCTTGTAACAGTCAAGGCCAACTTGATCCAATCCACCATCTCCATATCAGGTGCCGGGTACGCTCCGGAAAGTCATCGGATGGCTTTTCCTCCATGATCAAGGGTTGATGATGAGAAGGGCTCCGACCCTACCATCTGATCTGATCGTGGTTAGCTGTGTGATGATGGTGACAGGGAAATGTGTTAGGAGATGAAGACGATACAGATCGCGAATGCGATTGGAAATCCTCGTCGAAGTGAGGACTTCGTCTCTCAGTCTCGGCTCTGCAGACTCTACAGTGAGAGCTGGAGGTTTGTAGAGAACATCACTGACAGGTGTTGAGAATAGTCCTCCATTTAACGATAGATAATGGATACTAGGTAACTAGAAACAGTCACAATTTGGTTTCTTTACACAGGATTGACTCCACGAAAGTTTTACAGCAGTAATTCCGTGTAGAACAACTTGCAAAGTTATTCTCTAATCCACTGGAGATTGATGTTGCTTTCCCAAGAAAACTGTAACGGATAGCCCTAATTTATACTGTTTGAAACTATATTGCAGGTACAGAGCGTAATTGACCTTTATCCCGACATGCACTCCTTGGTTTCAGTGTGAAATTTCACACCGCCTGCAAATTTAGCCTGACTTGTTGTTCATCTCACCTTTGCCTGCAAGTATGGATATCCATCTCATTGTGGCAAGGTGAAAAATGGAAGAAGATCAGCGGTGCTTGTAAGTGGAGTGTTACATGCAGATACTCAAAATGATTGGTTGGGATTGAAAAGAAATTTGAGCCGTGAAATCATAGTTCGGGGTAAACATTATCGCACGCCTCTGTGGGCTACAACTTCCTCTCGGGCCTTTCGTATCATTTTGGTAGCTCCGTTTGAGTAAGATAATTAAGACTTCGCATTGTTTGCATAGCTCGGAAGCTAGCACATCATATGCATCAACCGAGTGATCGTCTTCTTCAATGTGAGGTTGAGTTATTCCAGCACCTTCAGAAACGAAGTAGATGTAGACAAATGAACTCTGTGTTCCAGCTGAACAGGTTTCTGTAAATGATCGTCGTTTCTATTCTTATTAATAGAAACAGCCTTGTATTTTTATAGTTCTCGCGAATTCGTTACTATATGTATTTCGGCTGCCGCTCTGTCCAATCAATATCTGGTATCGTATCTAAGGGCAGAAAATTATCGTCACCAAGTGACCAGGGTGGGGGGGGCCACCATTTTCAGAAGGTCGGATGGGCCATCTATTTAATCAGCATGAGTAAGCAGTTCACTCCGCCCTATTATCTTCCGTCATCGCTCGTCGGATTGATGATGATGTCGGACTTACAAACCGTCCACCCCTCATTAAACCTATAAATCCAACAAGCAGATAAATATATCTTTACGAGTTCCGATGGGAAATTTCCCCGATTTTGTGCGTCACTAATCGCAAGCTGCGAATCGGACTGTCCGTTCCGATATCATCATGTCAGAAACATCACTCCCTCCAGATACCAACCAAACTACGCCCATTCCGGTTGTGACAACAGCTAAAAGTTCAAACATACGTCGGTTTCCTGTGCAGCCTGTAGAGACCACTATACGTAGAAGCAATAAGGCAAAGGAAAAGCTCACGATCGAGAAAAGTGTAGAATATGAGAGCAAGAATTACACGCCAACCTCGTTCCCTAAACGTCAGCTTCCTGAGCCTGTGGAGACATCTTCACGCAGCAGTCGAACAAAGAAAACTGCGGATACTAGTAGCCCTACCTCACTTGAAATTACGTCAAAAGAAGCAAAACCACATCGAAGGTTTGTCCCTGAGTTAATTGAAACATCGAGACGCACCAAGAAAGCGGGAGACACTGGACCAGCAACCCTGCCCACTGATAAGGCAAGTAACCATTTTAGTATCCACTTTAGTCGTCGATTATAAACTAACAACTGCTATTAAATAGACCGATCTTTCACCAGGTGTCCCGAATATTTATACTTCCTCTTGTACAAGGCAGAGAAAACCCTCCGCCAACTACGCAAATCGATGGAAGGCATCCGATAGAGGTAATCTAAACACTCATCTGCTACCATTTATGCCCCGCCGTCAGGGCTCTACTAGGCCTCACTGCAACACGAGAATACCATCCCGGCAAAGCTCGTTCACTTCTTCGCTTGAGCCTATTTCTTCCTCTGAATCGAATTCCGGGTCACCTACCTCTCCATCAAAAACTTTCTCAGTTTCCGACTCGATTGGCTCGACAGAGAATTACAATCAACGCCTTCAACTAGCACGTACCCGTGAAAGCTGTGACGAAAGATTTTCTGGGTATCTTCTCTCTCTTGCTGCTAAAGCTGCCGAGAAACAGCTAAGAGAACAAGTCTTACTAGCGGCATTTCCTAATGAAGCTAAGCATGAGATAGTGGAACATTTCTATGATCGTGAAGTTGACGGAGCATCCGATAATGATTCTGTTGGAGATGTTACAATCATTCATATCGATCAGGTTTTTGGTGAAAAGATCAAGGGAAATTATAATAGAAAATATTTACCACTGGCGAGAAGAAAAAGTTCCGAGTCTGATTGGGCTATAAGAGAAATGCAGCTACATCAAGAAAAGTTTTCTCATTCACGTGGAAGAATGCCCAGTAGAGGTACTGAAATTGATGCTCCAAATAATTTATACAACGACATGCTTCGAATAGATGGGAATAATTTCAATGCTGTTGAGAGAGAGATTGTTGCGAAAAGAGAACTAGAAAAAATGCGGATTGCTGCGAGTCCACCGATGCTTGGCGCTGATCTTAAATTCCGAAGGTGCCCAAGTCCGAAGCCAACAAAATTCGAAAGCGATCAGAAAGCAAACCTGCAGTTAAATCGTAGTGAAAATGGAGGTGGGCTATGGGGAGGATATTGTATCTCTGAAGAACCAGGCGAGTTCTTGTCACCAAGCTTACAGGGACCAGAATTGATCCAGACGCCGATGATAGGTGAGAGTTTTGGTGATCCCTTCTCAAAATTATTCGCCAAAGAATTGCATCAAAGTAAAGATGAAATTTCAAGTCCATGGTGTGGCTTAAAACATACTATTGAATTTAATGATCACCTCCATGATGAAGTTCCAAAAAATACTGATAGTAATATCAACCTTGATGAATTCGATGATTATTTTGTCACACAGGTATATAACTATCTCTCCCTTGGTTATCCCTCCCTTGCTTGGCAATTTGACGATGAGCTCTCTCGAATTTCTAAAATTCCAACAGAAAAATTACGATTGGATGATCAAAAGCATGCCAAAGGTCACATCAGATTAAAGGCAAGTATCACGCTACCAGATAGTGTGCGTTTTGAAAATGGCAGGGCCTGTGATGATAAAGAAGAAAGCCAGAAATGTGTCAGATGGCATGCATTAAAAATTTACATTAAAGAGTGGGGCAGACAGCATCCATGCCTTAACCAAGCTACCATGGGACTTAGTGCTTGGGGTGTTCGTGCTAGGAGGGGTAGCTGGGCTATTTGATTACGGATGACATTACACCATACAACAGAAAGCCCAACTTTCCAAATCTATAAATATTTCGCCCTCGGTGCAACAGAGAACTATAGGTGCTATTACCTCTTGATTTTTATTTAAATTGCAAAGCAGGATCCTGCGCTTTACAAAAAGATTAATCATGAATCTTTGCCGTCTAACGAATAATATCATTGAGCCACTGAATATCATGGTTTGTGTTTTGAGGAAAGCAATTTTGGCTGTGGCCTATAAAGCATATCAATCATACCGAAGAGACAAGCGTATCTCTTACGAAGATTCTTAATGTTATTGGATGTAAGAATGAAGTCATGACTGTAGAATCCTACAAATTGACATGGGGCTCTTGGTGGAGGAGTCAAAACTATTCAGTATACCTGAAATAATTATGAACCAGAGACGAAATTTTGGTAAGTACATGATGAGTATATTTACTGATTAAATATAATGATTACATTACGAGCAGTGAATCAAGGTTTTGTGAAGGACAAAGCCAAGATTGTAGAACAAGAATATCAAAAAGCTAGAAATTGAGTCAACTAAAAAGGTTCTTTATGTCTCTAGAAAAAGTAAATTAAAATTAGAAAAAGTTCCTTGGTTCTATGAAAGTTTTCGAGATGCGCCCTCTTAGTTCTTGCACAAGTTTATAAGCTTTGCTTGATGTACACACAACGCCATACCCTTACCAACTGAGCTAGTTTTGGTTTGAATTCCAGTCTATCAAGTGATATGGTTTAGCGTAAATTATTTCAGCGCTACATTGATAAGAAGACCCAAACAGCTAAATTCATTTTCCATGAATGATATTAAAGCTACAAGTGCTGGTGTCCAATGAAATTGGGATTTGTAACGACAGCTAGAGCGTGCTGAGGCGAAAGCCAGTAGCAGGCATGGATTCTGAAAATCTGCCCACGATTTTGATGATTTATACACTACAATCGCTCTTAATACTGCGACTGCCATTATGGCGCACATCTCGGTCTACATCATTAATAGAGCCTTGTAGAAGTGTAGGAATATGTTCTGTACCACTTAGCTTCAGGTGGGGGGCTCAGGTCAAATGAGACGTACGCTCTAAGTAATAACCAATAAGGAAACTCCGTGCTACTTACCCACTAGGGAGTGCCGCTTTAGTTTTAAAATTGTTATGTTAAATTATTATCCATTTTCTGTTTATAACCAAATATGTCACAAAGAGACATTCGCGAATAAAAGTATAAGCGGTAACTTCAAGGAGCAGGTGTCCGATATACCTCAACAACCGGGGCTATATAGTGAGATCAGATGATGCGCCAACTTGAATCAATCTTGGTCAGGTTAGGGTTTAAGTCATGATTAGAATTTTCTACAATCTGAGTTGGATCGTGTTACACAGTTAAGTTGTACTAAAGGAAGCTGTAGCTACCGCAAAGTAGTTCTCCAGCTTCCCAATCTTTTAATATCCTAATCTTATACTCTTACAAACTAATTATATCACACTTTTCAAATCTCATATAATCTCGTCATATCACTTCGTTAAATCCTGGCCTCTTTCGTCTTCACCCCCTAGCGTCTCGCCAGTTCAGACCTCAATCTACATCTTTAAGTATTCTCCGCTCGTACCTAACCTCCTTGTCATTATTAGCATACTACTAGAATATTATTGTATGATTGATTATACAATAATGATATGACTACTGATCCTAATAAAAATTGATTGTTTTGCTTAATTGCTTTATATCTAAAGATAAAGACATCGCTCCAGTATATTAACGTCCCTCGTACTAACTTTCACTCCATATTAGTACGCCAGTGCTACTAGATTGTCAACTGGGAGCCCTTGACTCAGTTAGGTCTCTCTTTATCTACGTATCACTAGAAGCAAGGTTCTTTTTTTTTTGAGTCATTTAATGTGTATTCAGCTATCTAGCTATGACACATGACCGGTGCTATGTATACATGTGGGATGACTCTTTTGATGTTAGAGACACTCATACTCTGTATTTCATTTGCAAATACCACTATGAGGTATGTTTGCTTACACAAACAGTCGACTCTCCTCCGTTAGTACCCACCAAAGGGAATTTAAAAACCTTTGATTATCCAAGCATGCCTTCGTCATCCATGCATACCTGCGCCGCGGGAAATGTAGTTGTGTTTTGCCAGATTCGAACCAGCGATCTACTGTCTCAAGTGGGATATGTGTCCAAGCTATCCAGACTCTACTTGGCAGACCGGCCAAGATGATGTACCACCGCACCATCCAACCATGGCAGTTTTTATAGTGTCGCCTGCACTCTCGCAGCCGAAAACTTGGCACGCACAAAGCTCAATTTGTAAAAACTCCTTTCCAAAATTCAAAATTCCACGCCCGTCGAGACTGTATTCAATCCTCTGCATCATCTTATTAACTTGTCCTGATCCCTCTCACATCCATCCCAAGGAATTGTCTTCCAGATTTATGCGCCACGCTTTGCTTCCTCCATCAGGTGTAAATATCGGCGTGGGCGTGTATCTGGCGACCAGCTAAGGCCAGAGAAAGTCGACAAGAGGTGTGGTCATTGGAATAAGGATGTACTAGGTCGTACTTGTAAACTTGATGAGGCTTGGATAGGAATCGATTTCGTTGGGAGTGAAAGATTGATATGGTGGAGTAATTTGAATCATTGCCTCGTGGGCCAACTTGTTCGGTAGTGAGAAGTTTGACTGAACTTGGCTCTGGGAGAATATTTCACTCCCAGGTGAAGCAAGGTTCATAACTATGACACAGTCCTAAGTATAGATGTTGCTCCTTGGCAGCGATTTCTAGACCCAGCTGCTTCACCCAGGCATAGATGACTCTACCCCAAACTGGTCATCCGTGGTGGTTTGCTGCCCTTGTCAAGGTATCTGTCATTGACCTTGTATCTGTTGTAAATTGAAATCTCCAGGTCATTCTCACGGTATTCACAACAAATACCTTCAGTAGACGGTGATATTTAGAGTCTCCATCGCACTCCGTAACAATATAGGACATGTAGGTTTTATCTGCCTACTGGCCAAGGATGCCTATCTAATACTAAAATCGCTCCTATACCTCTCATACAGCTCCCATTAAACAATACCACCCCTAAAAAGTCATCATTTGATCATGCATTTAATGTCTCTTGTACTTCATCCACCCCTCTATAGACGTTCAAAAGAAGACCCTTTGCGGGTGTATAATAGCCGGGAAAAGTTGAAAACAAACTGGGTATATGATTCTCCTAATACCGACACCAGGGCTAGATCCAAAGACATAACTATTCTTCTGGAGCGTTCGAAGAGATATTATGATACTGAGTGTAACCAAGGGTGTGCATGGAAAATATTATCACATAGAGTAGTTGAACTTTCCCCAAGATGTCAAAGGAGATAAATTAGGGAATGACGATGGTTAGGTTAGTGTATATTAGGACGTGTATTCTCTCTCTTCATGATGATCAGATCTTTCACTCGACGCAGATAGATTCATGTGAACATGTCTCAGTCGCGACTTTCCCATTATCTTCCCGTGGATTCTAACATCCGCAACTTTTATTCCGATTATCCTATACCTCAATAAGAGGCCAGCCAAATGGGTGCTCCAGTCTTGCGTGTAACTCACGAAATTAACTCTCTGCCTTCCTAGCCTCTTTTCGACTCTTTCCCAAGGTTTGTGCTGGAATGTCAGATACACCTTAACAAAATTTATTTGCTGTTTAGAAGCTTATGTCAAATTTGTTGTGCCATCTGAGGTATTGGAGAGTGTCGTAGACTCCCCGATAAGAGAAGTCCTGGGTAATTATCCGAAATCTCGGTCTCGGCACCAACAAATATTTCAAAGTTTGAAAGCTTCGAAATTGTCAGTCCTAGCATGCTCTTTGGCATCTTCCTTTTCGTGAATGTAAGAGCTTATAGAGGATTCATTGGCAGAAAGTTTAGGGATAATTATTGCTGAATCAATGTGAACTATCGATAATTTGATACTCAGAGCTGTGAGGATTCAGGAGGTAGAAAACATTTCTCATATACACATCTGAGGTAGCTTGACTCACGCCTTGTTTTCCAAAAAAGTATCATGGAATATTCTAGTGTCCTCTATCTGGTAGTATAATCTAGAAACACTTTCCATGTAGTGCTTCTTTGTCCTTCTGCTTATCATGGAATCTCCTAGAAAGAACAATCTTTGCTCCCAATGATAATTGTCCTTGTGCAACGTAATCTTGGCTATCATCAGCACAGCTCTCCTCTTTTTCAAGGTTTCACGTCCCAGTCGCCTGTCTACTCTCAAGTTGTATGGTCCCCATAGAGCAACTGCCCCCCATTAACCAAGACCCGAGCTTTGTATGTTTTGACTTCATTTCCTTCTTGTGAGTATACGTAGCGTCGTCAATTTGGTAATTAGTGATGACCAATAATTGATGAGGCAAGCTCCTGTTTGCAATTGGAACAGCTACTTGATCACTCGACGAGGCGGAGTGGTCAGTTGACGAATTGGGTTGGAAGACCCGTGTGAGAATGATATGACCAAAATTGATGAGAAGTCGTCAAACATAGATGTGCTTGTGTTTGTTTTCGTCTTTGATATAATTATTCCTGTATACCTTAGAGATGCAAAGCATCTTGAGCTTTTTCACCGGCACCGCTGGAAAGTGAAGAATTTGCCATTGCCGTCAAAAGAGAGCTACCACACCCGGATTAAGCCGGCAAAGACGAATTCTTCACCTTCCAGTGGTGCCGGTGTAATCGCTCAGTCTGCTCTGCATATCTTGGATAGCCAAGAAGAATCGAATCCGAATCGAAGTCGAAAGCAAATACATGTATATCTCCATTTGACGACTTCTCAACCATGCAGCACTCACCATTATCTTCTGAGTCCTCAACCCCGATCTAAACACATATCATCTCGCCTCGCCGACCGATAAAGGTGTCATCCCAATTGCAAACAGGAGCTCGCCTCATTCATCGCCGGCCATCACTTACTACAAATTTACGATGCTATTTATACC